TGTTCACATAAAAAATAATAAAAAAAAGAATGGAATTTTTTTAATCTATTTTAATAAAATCAATCTAGGCTAATGTAGAAGATAAAATTGGCATTTTGTTTTCAACTAATCAATTTCGTGATCATGCTTTCAACCAAGTAATCCGGAGAAGAAAAATATACAAAAATTGAGAAAAAAATTCATTAACCAATTATATTAGTAAGCAATTTTAGATTAAAAATATATGCTAGTGAATTACTTCCTTAAATTTAAGAAGCATTCATAACTAAAATAAATAAATAAATAAATCAGAGAATAATTAGATATTATTTTTTTAATCAACGATAAAGATATATCAAATCAATTTATACATAAATTGAAATTAGATTTGTTTTGAATAATTTTAAAAATGTATTTTTCATATTAACTTAATATATTAAAATAAAATTAATAAATTTTTTTATGTGTTTGTCTTTTTTTAAAAAAGTAAACTCATAAAATAACTAATATACAAAATTGAGAAAAAATTCATTGACCAATTATATTAGTAAGTAATTTTAGATTAAAAATATATACTAATGAATTACTTCCTTAAATTTACGAAGCACCTATAACTAAAATAAATAAATAAATAAATCAAAAAATAATTAGATATTGCATTTTTCAATCATGGATAAAGATATATCAAATCAATCAATTTATATGTCAATTGAAATTAGATTTGTTTTGAAAAATTTTAAAAATGTATTTTTCATATTAACTTAACATATTAAAATAAAATTAATAATTTTTTTAAATGTTGGTTTTAAACTTAATAAATAAAAAACAAACTCATTAACTACCGGATATTCATTAACAGAATTGATGATTTGAAATGGCAAAAATACATGCTTAAATGATCGAATAGTAGAAAAGATTTTTTTGTTTTTGTTTTTTTTTGTTTTTTTTGACGGATTGATGAAAATAGAAAGCTGATTGAAACAAGTGAATTTAGCTAAAAAAAAAAAAAAAAAAAAGGGCGAACGAACTTAACGCGCCGGCTTTCACTGCCTCCTGGCCTAACGTCTGGCTTTTCAGCTGAGCAAAAAATCGCTCAAAGCTCTTCTCGTTATATGCCATTTTCACTTGCTGTCAAATTACATATTCCCTCCACAAAACACTATCACCGTTTTTCATTCCTCAAGAAAATGATCTCCATGGCATCTATATTTCCTCCTCAACTATCCTCACTAACGGAGAACCCCCCACTGTCCCTCTTTGAAAGTTGCAAATCCATGAACCAACTCAAGCAAATCCATTCCCGAACAATCAAAACAGGCTGTATATGCAACCCCATTATAAAAAACAAGATACTTTCCTTCTGTTGTAGCCAAGAATTTGGTGATATGGGTTATGCACGTCAACTGTTTGATACAATTCCTGAACCATCTGTCTTTAATTGGAACATAATGTTTAAAGGGTATTCTAGGATTGATTGTCCAAAACTAGGAGTTTCTTTGTATCTTGAAATGTTAAGGAGGGATGTCAAGCCTGATTGTTACACCTATCCGTTCTTGTTCAAGGGTTTTACGCGCAGTGTTGGCTTAGAATTCGGGAGGGAGCTGCATTGTCATGTAGTGAAGTATGGGCTTGATTCCAATGTCTTTGCTCACAATGCTTTGATAAATATGTATGCTTCGTGCGGATTAATTGATATGGCTCGTGGGATATTTGATATGAGTTGTAAGATTGATGTTGTCACTTGGAATGCAATGATTTCTGGATATAACAGAATAAAGAAGTATGATGAAGCTAGAAAGCTGTTTGACAAGATGGAGGAGAAAGGAGTTTTACCCACTTCGGTTACTATTGTTTCAGTATTATCCTCGTGCTCTAAATTGAAGGATTTAGAATGTGGCAAGCGGGTTCAAAGGTATGTTAGAAATGGTGTGGTTGAGGCAAATTTGAAAGTAGAAAATGCTTTGATCGACATGTATGCAGCATGTGGCGAAATGAATGTGGCGCTTGGGATTTTTGAGAACATGAACAACAGGGATGTGATTTCTTGGACTGCTATTGTTACCGGATTTGTGAATGCGAGGCAAATCGATGCAGCGAAAAAGTATTTTGATGAAATGCCTCAAAGAGACTATGTCTCATGGACTGCCATGATAGATGGATACCTTCGATGTAATTGCTACAAAGAGGCTTTGATGCTTTTCCGTGAGATGCAAGCTTCTAAAATAAAACCAGACGAGTTCACCATGGTTAGCATACTTACAGCTTGTGCACAACTTGGAGCGCTAGAGCTAGGAGAATGGATAAGGACTTACATTGATAAAAACAAGGTCAAGAATGATACTTTCGTGGGGAATGCTTTGATAGACATGTACTTCAAATGCGGAAATGTTGAAAAAGCACTAAGCTTATTCAATACAATGCCTCAACGGGACAAATTTACATGGACGGCCATGATTGTTGGCCACGCCATTAATGGATATGGTGAAGAAGCTCTAGATATGTTTGCCCAAATGCTGAAAGCTTCTGTAACTCCAGACGAGGTAACTTATGTTGGTGTTCTCTCTGCTTGTACTCATACTGGCATGGTAGATAAAGGAAGAAAGTTTTTTGCCAGCATGACCACCCGACATGGAATTGAACCAAATGTAGCTCATTATGGGTGCATGGTTGATCTTCTTGGCAGAGCTGGGCACCTAAAAGAAGCTCATGAAATTATTAGGAACATGCCAATGAAACCAAATTCAATTGTCTGGGGAGCTCTTCTAGGCGCTTGTAGAATTCATAAAGATGCAGAAATGGCTGAAAGGGCTGTAGAGCAGATTCTTGAGTTAGAGCCCAATAATGGGGCTGTTTACGTTCTGCTTCGTAATATATATGCAGCTTGCAATAAAAGGGATAAGTTGCGTGAATTGCGAGAATTGATGATGGATAGAGGTATCAAGAAAACCCCAGGTTGCAGCTTGATAGAAATGAATGGTATTGTCCATGAATTTGTTGCCGGTGACCAGTCACATCCTCAAACAAAAGAAATTTACGGGAAGTTAAACAAAATGACAAGTGACTTGAAAATCTCAGGGTACTCACCTAATACTTCTGAGGTGTTTCTCGATATAGCAGAAGAGGATAAAGAGAGTGCACTTTACCGGCACAGCGAGAAGTTGGCTATTGCATTTGGACTCATCAATTCAGGTCCCGGGGCCACGATCAGAATTGTGAAGAACCTCAGAATGTGCTTAGATTGTCACCATGTGGCAAAGTTGGTGTCAAAGGTGTATGATAGGGAAGTTATTGTCAGGGATCGAACTCGTTTCCATCATTTCAGGCATGGCTCCTGCTCATGTAAAGATTATTGGTGAGAGTTAATAACTGGCAGATTGTAAATTTTGTAACTTAATTCTCTCTCTAAAGCATCTAATTAGTGCCAGATATCGAAATGAGTTTTTCTATCTCTTTTCTTTTTTCTTTAATTGCTGCCGAAAGAAAATTTTGCAGGTTACATAGCCACATAGTGTCATAATTTGAGAAGAAATTCACCAACTAGGTGGAGTTGTAAACTTGTAATGATACTCGGTTTAGACTTGAAATAGACAAGAGCTTGCTGGTATGGCAGAGTTCAAATCACCGACCAAAGCCCTGTTTCGATCCTTCAGTGCTAATGTCATTTTGACAGAGGTATGTTTTTTACTCTAAAAAGAATTGAAAATTGGCATGTCTACTAGAAACAATCAGGATACGAATACGAGCAAAATAAATAAGTAGGTTGATACTTCTCTCTGATGCTATTTAAATCCAAGCCAACCAAGACTGTGCGATCCATTAAAGTCTCAAAGAGTAGAATGATGCCTAATCTTAGAAAAGTTCATAACCTGTTCAAAGAAGTTTTGTAAGAGAACATACCACTGCTGTCTCTTCTCCTCATTGCAAAGTCTCAGGATAAAATTTTTGTTGTATTACAGATATTGAAATAGATGATAGGTTTGTGAAAGTTTGAAAAGGAAGAGAGAGTCTTGAAGAGCTGGACTATCTCATTTGATTGTTTAAAATGATCATTTACAAGATGTATAAGGATTCAGTTCCGATTACACAAAAGATTCAGCCAAAATGTAAACCTAATTTGTCAACAACCGCTAATAGCTTTAGCTAATTCTGCTAACTCATGCTACTACTTGTCAAACATCAGCAGCTCTGCTTGTTATCAAGATCAATTTCCATCTGTTCTCTATACTTGATGTTGACCTGCAAGGCAAAATGGTTCACCAACAGAGTTCAAAGTCTGTCTTCAAATCCTACTATAAAATCAGCTACACGTGAGACACCCTTGAGCACTTCTAGATGGCAGCCGATATAATTATCTGCTAACAAAGCCAAATGGTGGCATCTCCTTGAAACTATGGAACTGCAAGTAACAATGCCAAGTCTAGTACTTTGTTCAAGCGAAGAAATTTTCTCACAAATTTAGAGATATTCATTCTCGGATTTTTCTTGCAAAGGAGCTTATCAATCAGAGCAAATTTTATAGAAAATAGGATAAATCAAGGCGAAAAACGTCAAGTTCCTGTTCTGAAGTGAGCACATGCTTTTCATGGTTGATGATGCACAGATTGAAAAGAGATGAGTGTGGAAAAGAAGACGAGAACACTTTAAATTCATGTTGATGGAAGGATTTTTCATTTTCCAGTCTATGGGCAAGTAGAGCTTTGATAAATCAAAAGGAAAAACATAACATACACTGAGAAAGGATCAGTAAAGACACCAAGAACCAAATACTATAATTTGATGAGGGTTTTACATCATCAAGCAGCATTTTTTCTTCTAATTTGTCACTTCATGTTCAGTGATTCCTAAAAACCAGTGAGGGAAGGGAGATATTAACAAAGTTAATGCAGTGCAAATCCAATGAAATATGAGTGTAATGAGAACCTCTGCACGTTTCCAAATCCAAGTTCCAACAACTCAATCAAAAGCCATAAAATTGACCATCGTACGCCAAAGCCATAAAGACATAAGAAAGGAACTAACCTTCAGCTTGACCCTGGGTCAAGCACGGGAAGCCTACAATGTAGACTTATAGATTTGTCGGTTAGACGAGTTCCAGGAACGAAGAACTGGAATATCACAGTCAAGCAAGCACCCTGAGGAGCAATCCCATAGAAAGCACAATCTGGCTTGGCCAGGTGACATTGGAGACTCTTAGAGAAATGCCTCACACTCACTTGCACAGACTGAGCATCTCCCATCGCAATCGCCCTTTCTGACCGAGTCTGAGCACTCAGATCTCTATCCTCACTTGGGGCTTGGGCTTTATCTCCAACAACCAACAGTTTACGAAACTCAGCACCAAGTGTGATCAAGGTAGTCGAAATCTGCAGGTGAAGATTCCCATACTTGCTTATAGTGACATTTAAAAGGTCACCAACATGCTTCATCCGATCGACAAAGTTCTGCAACCGATTCAGATCAGGAACCTGAACCAGAGTCCGAGGCAGATCTTGGGCAGCATCGAGAGTAGCTTGAAGTTCAAGAACTTGGGCCCTAGACAAAGGCTTCGAAATGGGAACGTCTTGAATAACCGCAGACTTATAACCCTTGGTTTCAAAGGTAAGAAAAGGCATTGGCTGAGTACAATTAGGAGGCAGCTTCTTCACCAATTTAATCTGAAGCCGATTTGCAGGAGCGGGGGCGGCCCCGAATTCACTGCAAATACTGACACTGCTACGAACAGCACGAAGAAGAAGGGAAATATCAAAGGCAAAAGCAATACGATCTTCGTTCTGGCTGGAAATGCGATAGTCATCGAAGAGAGCTTGTTTGCGGAACTGAGCAATGGATTGGATTCCGTCGGTGCTGAGGAGGTTGTGGAGGAAGAAAGCGTGGTCTCTGGTAAGGAAAAGATGGCATATCTTTCCCATTTTTTCCAAAGCAGGTAGGAATCTTCTGTCTAACAGACTAACGCCATTATCAGTCAGAAATGCCTTGAACTTCATCTTCCTCTCTTCTCCTCTGAAAATTAAAACATCCAATTATTATTACTGTAAAACCCTAACCTACAAATCGTAAGATTAGGTTATGGATAAACTTTATTTTTTCTCTTGATAACAAAACCGAAAAATTAGTGAGAGAGAGAGAGAACTGACCTGTTTATCGTTTTTTTTTTTTTTTCACACCTCTGAAGAAGGCGCCAACCAGCGAAGCACGAAATGAAGGGAGGGAAATGACACAGGGCTTGCTCATTTATCATTCTTGCGGTCAGGTTTTGAAAATTAATTAAGTTTAGAGGGTAAAATAGGAACTTTAACACTATTGGTCTACCATTTTTTTTTTTTTGAAGTTCTGAACTATGGTGTGATTCGATTACGGGTAAAACAAAACATCCGGAGTGAAAATAAAGTAACGAAAATAAAAATTAAGAATTCAGAATATTGTTTACATTCTTATACTATTTTTGAAATACGAATAAAAAATTAAAATAGAATTTAAATTTTTAAATTTTTTATTTTTTATATAAATTTTTTTATTCTTTATTTTTATTCTCATATTTTAAATAAAAATAAAATTATATTTATTTTTCGTAATCATAGTCGCTCCCTTCTTTTCAATCAAATAATTATAAAATAATAATAAAACTTTTATTCCTACTCCTCCTACCCCACTCGCCAAACAGTATTTAACCCTATTTATGTCAATTGCTTTCCAAATAAAGTTTCTCTTTGGTATTAATTTTACAATATATTATTGTTATTTTAATAAAAGATCGGTTTAGTGGCACCTATTGCATTATGACTGCTTCTAATTCTCCACAGATTAATGATTTTTACAGGAATTTTTTTCTTTTTTTTCAGAAGCACTCTAAGCAAGAAGAAAAGTTTCTCCAGAATAGCTTTGGCACTTTTAAGACATTTTTGTATACACCAGCTACATGGTTTCCATCAGCTTACAGCCTTGCTCACAGGCACACACACATACATAAAAGCAGTAAAATTATACACAATCTTCTAGTTTCGAAAATGTTGCACTGCTCTTACAAATTACATGGCCGCTCCTCTACAAGATGAAGCTTGTTCAAGATCTCATCCAAAGCTTGCTGTGTAGCCTTGTAACAATCTTGTGATTTCCTTCCTTCCTCTACAACCCGCACAATGCATTTGTACAAATGGTCATACCTGTGAATTGGGTTGTTAGTATCAATACCGCGGCAGCTGTGATCAAGAACACAAGAACGCTTCATATCTTTTCTCCATCGTGAGAGAATATATTGCGGCGGGATCTCCTCCAAGCCATTTTGGTTAAGGACACTTAACGCGTGCCTGCATAAATAACCGCTAAAATTGAACAATCCACAAACACAAAGAACATCCATTTCGGATGCGTTGTACATAACCTCAAAATCCCTGGACTGCATACTTCCTTCAACTTCAACTTGTTCTTTGACTATATACGTCATCGCCTGTCCATCAACATAAGCTTGTCTTGTGCTAAAACAGGAGTACATACCCTCCACCTCCCTTTCGAATCTCCTCAGGATTTCATTTGTGTACAATTTTGACAGTTGCAGCTCAAAGTAGCATCTTGATTTTAGCATGAAACTTGAAGTCCTTGAATCTATATCAGCCAAGGATTCAAGCTGGTGATTCGCCTGTAAAGCTTGATCATAACTGTCCAAAAATTCTTTGAGCGAAGTATGCCTATCCAGATATCCTTCAAAAAATGAAGCTGCAGTCTCATTTTGATGGAGCGGTAACATTCCTGCCAGAAATGTCTCTTTCAAATAAGCTGGAACCCACCTTTTCCTGTCTTCGTATAATGTTTGGATCCATTTATGATCCTTAATTCCATGATGCAGTGTCATCTCTTCCCAAGCTGCTTCAAATTCCTCTGGCCTGAGAAAGTAGTAGACTACTTTACTCAGTGATGCTTTAATTGCTTCAAAATCAAACAAATCTCCCAGGGTCTCAGGAATTCTTTGCATGATACGTGACAGATGAAAACAATGAGAAGCTCTAGGGAAAACATCAGCAACAGCAGCTTGCAAGGTTCCACAATGGTCAGTGATGATAGATTGCGGAGGACGTCCTAATATGCTTGTAAGCCATGCCCTCAACAGCCATATGTATGATTCAATGGTTTCACTGGCAAGCATACCACAACCCAATAGGATAGGTTGTCCATGGTGGTTTACTCCAACAAATGCAACCAGTGGTACTTCATATTTATATGTCAAGCACGTAGTGTCAATTGCAATTACATCACAAAAATAGCCATATGCAACCCTAGACCTTGCATCAGTCCAAAACAAATTCCTCATGTATCCTTTCTCATTAAGATCTACCACATAAAAGAAGTTGGGATCCATCAATTGCAAGCGGCAAAAAAAATTTTGAACAGCTTGGGCGTCTCCTTCTTTAAGCTTTAATTGAGTGGGCTGCAGAACATCATTCCCAAATTGTCCTCCATCAGTATCTACACCTCCATTGCCCTCAGCATCAACAATCACAGTCCGAAACAGCCTAATTTTCTGTACTTCTTCCGGACCATCCAATTGCAATGTCCTTTTGGTCCCAGCACCAATAAGTTTATGAGATTTATAGAATTTACTGCTTCCTGGGGTAATTAAGTGATTGTGCTCAAGCTCGACCTCAATAATTTTCCACCTTTTGTTTTCCATCAACCTGAACTTCACCATTGCTGGACAGCCTGTTCTTGTTTCAGGTCTTGGTCGGTTTGCTTCACTTTTCTTTTTGAAACCAGCACTACTACAGCTAAGTTTTCCTCTGTATCTTTCTTTACTCTTTCTATACCATGTATTACTTACTCGAATCCCAAATCCCTGTTGCTTGGCATAGCAATTGTAAAAGTAATAGACATCCTCATAGGACTCAAACTCCATACCAACAGAAGGAGGCAGGGGTTTCTCACCTTGAATCACACCAGTCTCATTGACATATTCTGTCATTGCACAATCTCCTTCAATCTCAAATTCATCGGTATCATCATTTCCCACCGGTTCTGTGTTAAGACACACTTCTTCCATCTAGAAAGTACACAGAATCAAATGACAACAAACAAATAAATAAACAATTCCCAAATTAAAGTAAGTATGAAAAGAAGTCAATAATTAATTACAGGGCTCCAAAACTCAAAATATATTTATCGGGTTTGTTTGCGAAGAGATTATTGTGCTAGCAAGCAACCCTCTTCTCTTACATGACATATAAAACCCTTACTGTAAAAACCCATGACTACCAAAACTTTGATTCTTCTTCACTGTCTCGATAAATGCAGAGTCATTCAGTTATATACCTTCCAAAGAGAAATAATCAGGATCTGACAGAAACAAGCAACAATCTTTTTCTTTCTTTCTTTCTTTTCTTCTGGTGCTACTAACAAAAATCTTACAAGCTAGCAAGCAATGTTATTGTTTCATTAACGCATCAAGAGTTGAAGTCCCTAAGACACGCAAAAACAGTATAAGAAAAGCCAATAGCCCCATTTCCCATCTCCAGTCAAAGTGACTACTCACCTGAAAATCAAGAGAGACCCTTCTTTCTACTTGCAAGGAACCCAAGCACCAAACCACCAACTCAGCTTCAAAACCCCAGATACTTGACTAGATTAAAGAAAATTTATAGCAAGTGATTTTTGCTTCAGAATGGAACAAGGAGTTCAGACTTCAGTGGGAGAGAGAGATTTCGTTGAAGAAATTTCTTACTTTTGCTTGGGGGTGCCCCTTTTTTTTAGTATATTTATACCGAATCCTTGCTACTTCAATTGAATTCCAATTGACACCCTGTTGAATTTCATATCTATAAAAAATACCCCAACATTTTTTTTAACAATTAAGCTATTCTAGAGTCATTTTTTAAAGACCAAGATTATAACACTTCTAGTTGTGTGTTGAACATCATGACAAAGGATTGAACTGAAATATTTATGGGATTTGTTATTCATTTTTTTTAATATAATATTTTTAAAATTAAATAAAATGAGTTTCAACTATTATATGTATAAGAAAATATATTAGGGTAATGTTTTAGTTTATTTTTTCTTATACAATTTGTGTCAATTTACTTTCGTATTTTGCTTGAGTAGAGTTCTTGGTGATTATGATTCTACTTAATGATTTCTATATTTTATGCTTTTAATTAGAGTTATTGTTTTTTTTATGAAAAAAAGTGCTTATTATGTTCGTATATTATATCGATTTAGTTCACTATCTTTCCCTCTCATCCAACATTTTCTTGACATATTATGTCATTTGGTTAAGAAGCACACTAATTGTGGTTAGTATTGGAATAAGGCAATCAATTGTGTCTCTTTATATTTTATGCCTTTTTAATTAGAGTTCTTGTTTTGTTAATTCTTTTTTTTTATAGAAAAATTATTTATTATGTCGCTGTAGTTCACTTTATTTTTCTATTATTATTTTGATTTATTATGTATCTCTATGATATTTTCTTATTTTCTTATATCTTTTGATTAAATAGCACACTAACCATGGTTAGTATTGAACACAAGTCATTCCATTAAGTTGTCAAGTGTCAAAATTTGAATTTGATTCCTTTTTATTAAATAAAATATTAAAAAAAATGCAAAAACGTAGTTAAAAGCACAAAACGTTAAATCGATTTCTCCTAAAAGGTTTTTTTTTTCATGCTTTAACTCTTTGTTAATCTTCCATTTATATGGATTTAAAATTTATTTTTTTATCCACTTTTTTTATTATTATTCATCAACAACTCAATGGATTTGTTAGACAATATAATGAGATTATCTTTTTCATTATATAATTATATAAAAAAAATAATTATCAGAACTCGAATCTCATTTCATTAAAAAAAATAATTAGATACACAACTGTTAGATTAAACCCGTGACATACTTAATTAGTTGTAAATAATTATTTCTCTCAATTAGTTGACGTGGGTTAGAGATAAATTGAAAAATACTTAAGCCACGAAGGGAATGACTGGACGCACTATCAGGTAGT